GATTTAAAGTCGCAACAAATTGAAGGTTTCAGTTTCTTTATCGACTTTGAAGATTTGTGTGATATTTTAAGGTGCCAATTAATACTAGAAAGCCATTAAACCAAAACAAACTCATCTGGTCACGCAACTTGAACTTTGTTCAAAACATTTTTTATCTCGCAAAATCAAGAAATTAAATTCCATCACAATGCAGGATGATTTCTACGTTTATAAGGAAAAGAATCTGTTTTCGGAATGTTTGAGCACGTTAAGAGAGATAAGGCATCAAGGTAGAATGTGTGATATCGTGTTAAAAGTAAAAAATATTGAAATTTATAAGAGAAAAAATGATCCAGTAAGATCCAGTAACAATTTTTATCGTAGGTTGAGGATTCTGCATTTAGCTGCCATAGAGTTGTTCTTGCAGCAACGATTAGTGACTAGAAAAATATATAATTTTAGCCACAAAATGGAAGCATACTAAGGACCGAAAAAAAATTTGGGCAGGACGATGGGGCATTTTCCCTTTTTTTGATTGTAAAAATCAATTTAAAATAATAAAAAAAAAATTACCTAAATTGGATTTAAAGTTTTAATAAAATCTGAAGTTACCTATCGCACCATACTTTCAAACGAAGATTCCCGATCAGTTCATAGAAGTATTGACAACGAACATCACCGTTGTTTCTTCAGGTTTCTGCTGATCTAGTTCAAAATTATTTAACGTCGTCGTCAAATCCAGTTGAGGAAAGTTTAACTTTCCTTTTTTTATCGAAGGTGTTGCGATGATCCCTCAATTTTATTTTGGACATCCATTTTAAGGTCGGTGAAAATGCTAGGTTAATAAATTTTTTAAATTAATTATGTCACGTTTATTAGACTTTTCTTTTTGCTATTACCTTTCATGTCATGTGCTGTTCATTCATTTATTGATATTTTTTAATTTATGCTGGTGATGTTAAACTTCCTGGTGGACATAGTGGTGCAAAACTTAGAGCTGAAAATGCTTTCTGCTTAATACTTGTCCCATAGCTGATTCTGGATGCTCACATCTGAAAATTCCTTATCCTGAACATATAAAAAGATGATTGAAATTGTTTGAATTAATGACCTATAATACCATAAAATTTTAACACAAAATAGAAGCATTCTAAGGGGTCAAAAAAAATTTGAGCAGGACGGTGGGGCGTTTTCTTCTTGTTTGATTTTAAAAATCAATTTAAACCAATAAAAAAAAATTTACCTAGATTGGAATTATTAAATATAAATATGTGGAGTTACCTTTCGCATGATATTTTTACAAAAACATTCACGCTCATCTCATAGAAGTATTGGCAGCTAGCTGATGATGTATTTGAATTATTGAACAATTATTTTTGTGCTTCATTTGATTCATTTGACGCATATTGATTTTGGATTTTACTTACTGGATGCGTTAACTCGATCTAAGAGAGAAAATTGTCAGATGGGTTAAGGTTGTTGGATGTAGATGACTGCAATGCGTTTACCGTTTACTTGTTTGATGTCTTTTTTGGTTACAATCCTGATTTTCCACCATTGCTTGACTTAAAGTTCCTTATAATCCTTGATTGCTAGTCTTCAAAGTCGATGTTTGCTTTTTCCATTAATTTTTCTTCTGTAATGCTGCTAAGTTTAAGATTATGGCTTTCCAAGATTCCTCCTAAATTTTAAGCGGTTTTGCGATGAATTTCCACTCAATTTTCTAAGTTGTCAGTTTGTCTCTTCCTTCATTATAAATCTCTTGCCAAACTTTTGAATCCTCACGTACACATCCTTTAAAATTTGTTGCATTGGTGCCTCCTGTCTTTGTGGTTTATGACTAATTTAAAGCTCTTGTGGGGTCTCAACATGTAAGCAGTTATCAAAACCCTTTTCAATTAAAACTTCTTGCTTGATGCCTCAATATATTTTTCATTCACTGTTTGCAAAGCTTTATGTTTGATATGCTTGTTGGCTTGTATGGATGATGATGTAGAGATTGATGACTTCCTAGCTTTGTCATTAGTATCGAGATGCAGCTCTTGTTCTCTTTGTAATTATGATCTTTTCAATTTGTTAACATGCTTCAATCATCGATGTCTTCATAGTTGATGATTGGATAATACTTTTTCATCAATATTTCATGTTTAATTCAATAAGTTTTAACGAACATCAATAATTGTTGGTAGCATTCTCGTTGAAAATTAAATTGCTTCTTCTAAAAGTTGATCATTTCAATTGTGACAAATTCTTGCTCGTTTCTGATGCTTGTTGGTTCAATAGTTCATTCTTCTTCTTGAATCCCTTAATTTTCAATCATAAAATGGCAATCAGTTTAAAACTTCTTGAATGCTTCAATTTCTTCAGAAACTGCAAACTTTTTAATCAATTTGTGGTGGAGTTCAGCTTTCAATTCCAAATTTGTACGATGATCATAATGCTCCTTTTTATTGTTTGCTGATGTTTCAATGTTTCAACACTAAGTCAGCCTCAATTTCAATATCATTGTTAAAGCTGGTTGTTTTTTTGAGAATCAATATTGTTCAACATGTGCCAATGTCAATTTTTTGAGTTCTTCTTTGATGATAACTGCGCGTCTTTCTGGTTCTCTTTTGTTATCGAATCATCTTCTTAAGAACATAATAATTGGAAAATTCTTCGTAAGTTTGAATTGCATTTAAGAGGATCCAAAATGGTTGACTTGTAAATAACTCATTTACTCACTTGCTTGTCGAAATTACACAGGGGTCCATTGACGCACTCAGAGTCTGTCTTCAACTGGTTTGATTCTTCGCGTCATCCTTAAAGGGGCCATAATCGCTCTAATTGCCTGTCGAGGATAAAAAAGCAAGATATTTGTCATCTGCAACTGTTGTTTCCCAGATTTCAGATCCATGCAAAACGATTCATTTGTTCAACTTTTTGGTGTGTCTTCTCAGTCTTTAGGTGCCTTTCAGTTGTAGCCAAACACTTCTTTATATTCCTTCCGATGCGATGCTGACCAATTTTGTCGACGATTCATCTCTCTGTTTGGTAAAAGTTAATTCAAACTACCACCACATTCAATCTACATACTAGTTTTGCAAAATATCTATGACTACATAATCTACATACTAGCTACATCAAACTACTCCTACATCAAATCTACTTACTAATTATGTATAAATACTACAGATACACACTACATACAATTAAGCTACTCCAACAATTATGAAATTAATAAAAAAGGAAAACCTAAAGAGTAAGAAAGAACAAAATAGATTATTTTCTCCGCACTTTCAGCTTTAGAGACCTATCCTGAAGAAAAAGAAACAAAAAATGTTATACAGAACTTATCATGGACGAGAATAATCCCTTTTTCTTGTTAACAGAATGATCAAAATAGTCCAGCAAAGGGTTGAATTTGTGACTTAACGATGGAGCACATAATTGATATTGTCCATATTTTAATTCCACTGATGAATAATTCATAAATTGTGTCTTAATTTCCATCCACTCATTTACTTGGGACGTCATCAGACGTGTAGTCTCATTAGGTTTGGGCTTCAAAAAAACTTCATATATTCTAGAAAGTGTCTGATTTCACGAGTCATGCCACCTTTGATATTCATCTACAAGAACAGAAACAGAAAAGAACCTTTTAAGTGAATTGTATTCGAATTGAAATAAAGTTCCAATGATTATAAGATGGAACCGATTCAAAAGAAATGAAAGCTTATTTAAATATATGGATGGAGACCTGTTAAAAGTATCTACTGAAATAATGCAATTTAAAGTTGCACAAAGGGAAATTCAAATCATGAAAAGAATCTAGGAAACAAATCACAATTGCTGTATGCTTCTAGCATGCACAATTATAACCAGAATTTTGAGATTAAAATACATATAAGCGAGTGAGATAACAGGCAAGGACCTTAAAAAATATACAACGTGACAGGAATAAATAATGCTTATTACTTGGCAATACTTGAAGATATGTGCGTTTATATGAAGTGCAGTTAATATGAATGTGGCAAAGGGCGAAAGAAGTCAGAAGGTAAATGATCCTAAACAAACAGCCTGAATCTTGAAAAAGAGTGTAAGCAATGCTGAAAGAATAATTTCAATCAGCAAAATTCAAAACTTACACTTGTCTGTTTCCAAAGGATAACAAGCATTCCTCTATTCCACGCCATCACTTAAAATGCTCACCCAAATCGCCTTCTATTTAAATGCATCTAATTCCAAATTAAACCAACGTGTTCCAGGAAATTTCAAAGTTGCTGCTAATATTTTCACATTGAATTATCCAGGGCTTCTCCACATCCTGTGATTCCTGCATACTCATCAATTTTTCATTTCACCACATCTTGAGACAACTGCAAACTCATCAATTGACTTCAAATAATTTTGCGTTCTTAAAATTTTTTTGATTTCAAAAAGAAATTTTTTTTCAAATGTTGCTGACATTTTGTTTTGATGAAGAAAATTACATGACGAAAATAGAAATTTTGATGTTTTGACATTTATGATGCATTTAAGGAATTTCTAATGGAAGTAAGGATTTTACGGTCTATAAAACATGAATTATTAATCAATCAAAACTTATCACATACTGACATTCTCTAAGATATTTTTTGATCTCCTTCTGCTTAAGTGCTAGACTCATGACAGATTGAACAGTGGCATTGCTTTCTTCTTGATCTCTAGATGAAGCGTTTTTAAAGAAAGGTATGTAATTATTTGTTATTTGTTAAAACTATTCTCATAATTGTATCTCGAATCAAAAATGAGATTTGGAATGCATAATCAATTGATTCATCAGGATGAATGATTTGTTTGCAAAAAGGAATGAATGCTTATCTTCTTTCATTCTTTGCATATTTTCTAGATTTAAAGTCGCAACAAATTGAAGGTTTCAGTTTTTTTATCGACTTTGAAGATTTGTATGATGTTTTAAGGTGCCAATTAATATCGAATTTCTAAAGTTCAAAAAGCTTTAGCACATTCAATTAACCGACACATTCAAATCTCATACCAGAAAGTCATTAAACCAAAACAAACTCATCTGGTCACGCAACTTGAAATTTTTTCAAAACAATTTTTTTCTCGCAAAATCAAGAAATTAAATTCCATCACAATGGAGGATGATTTCTACGTTTATAAGGAAAAGAATCTGTTTTCGGAATGTTTGAGCACATTAAGAGAGATAAGGCGTCAGGGTAGACTGTGTGATATCGTGTTAAAGGTAAAAAATATTGAAATTTATAAGAGAAAAAATGATCCAGTAAGATCCAGTAACAATTTTTATCGTAGGTCGAAGATTCTGCATTTAGCTGCCATAGAGTTGTTCTTGCAGCAACAATTCCATATTTTTATGCAATGTTCTCACAAGATTATAAAGAATACTCGAAGAAAGAAATAGAATTAAAGGAGATAGATGCAACAGCTTTAGAACACTTAATTAATTATGCATACAGTGGATCCATAAGAATTGACACAAACAATTGCCAATCAATCATGATTGGTGCATCGTTTCTTCAATTAAATAAAGTCCGAGACGCTTGTGCTGATTTTCTTATTAAGAAATTTCATCCACATAACGTACTTGGTATTAAGGCTTTTGGTGACTCATTATCTCATAATACACTTGTCGTAGCTGCTGATAAGTTTATAAATCAGAAGTTTGGTGCAATCTCAACATCCGAAGAATTCATGACGCTTGGATTTAAAGAACTACAAGACATAATAAGACGTGATGAAATCAACTGTAATAGCGAGGAAGTAATTTTTGAGGCATCAATGCGCTGGATTAAATACAATGAAGCTGAACGATGTCATTTATTGCCGGAAGTCTTGTCAAAAGTACGATTGCCACTTTTATCGCCACAATATCTTGCTGACTTTGTAGCCACAGAGGAACTGATTAAAACGAATCATCAATGTCGTGATTTACTTGATGAAGCCAAGGATTATCATTTAATGCCAGAACGAAGAGAATTGCTACAAAGTTATCGGACTAGACCAAGAGGAAATGAGTTTGTTCGTGGTGAGATTTATGCTGTTGGTGGATTGACAAAGACTGGCGATGCTGTATCGACCGTTGAGATTTATAATGTACAGAAAGATGAATGGAGAATGGGCGAAGCAATGTCAATGCTAAGATCTCGTGTAGGCGTAGCTGTTTTACATAACAAGGTAAATGATCTCACATTTCTCTTTCTCAATTGTTCTCAATTTAATTTAATTAAACTCAATTTTAGCTTTACGCATTCGGTGGATTTAATGGACAGGAACGTCTTTCAACCGTTGAAGTGTTTGATCCAGAATCAAAAACTTGGAGTCAAGGAAAGACAATGATGTGTAAAAGATCAGCAGTTGGCGTTGCAAGTCTAGACGATTTTATTTATGTATGCGGTGGATATGATGGAATAACTTCACTGTCTACAGTCGAACAGTTTTGTCCAAAAAATGATTCATGGAAGAAAGTGGCACCGATGATGAAATATAGAAGTGCAGGAGGTGTAGCAGCATTAAGGGGATTTGTCTATGCTCTTGGTGGACATGATGGACTGTCTATTTTTGATAGGTAATTAAATTAATAATCAGAAACTGGCAGTGAATTGAAATTACGACTCATTTGAATAATTAAATGATAGTGACACGCCCTCAAGTAGACTGTCTGTGATACGAACAACTTATTTATGAATATTGAAAATTAATTATTTTCATAAGCCTTGATCAATTCGTTGTTGTTTAATTAATGAACATTCGTAGTCTTCAAATTTTTAACGAGTTTCTAAAATTCAAATTTTTTTACGGTTTTATAAAGTTTGAATTTCTTTTTGAAAGTTCAAAAAATTGTCTTTAGAAATTTTCAAATTGAATAAGTACGCTAAAAGATAATTTCATTTTAGTGTCGAGCGATATGATCCAAAGACTGATAAATGGGAAAAAGTCAAGTCAATGACGAGTCGAAGGTGTCGATTAGGAGTAGCTACACTTAGTGGAAAACTCTATGCATGCGGTGGATATGACGGATCGAGTTTCTTAAGGAGTGTTGAAGTCTATGACCCTAATTTAGACACATGGCGATCGATTGCTTCAATGAATGTCAAAAGATCAAGAGTCGCACTTACTTCCAATATGGGTCGATTATTTGCTATTGGTAAGGCTTAATCCTTACTTTATAAATTTAAGTTTTCACATATAACTCTATTAATGCACAGGTGGATATGATGGAGAATCAAATCTATCAACAGTTGAAGTCTACGATCCAGTATCTGATTCCTGGTCATTTACATCATCGATGTGCGCTCATGGAGGAGGCGTAGGTGCTGCAGTCTTACCATTGTGATTTAATTATTAATAATATGTTTAGAGCTGAATGTTCAATGCTTAACTTTCCATTAACCCACAGTGATTTACTTAAGATTAGCGACCTTCCTATGGAATTACTTAATTTCTTTTTTCTAAATCAAGTGATTTGTCTAAGCTATTCCGTAACTTTTTTTTGGTACCTTAATATGTCCATAAATGGAACTCAATAAAGAATTTATAATTTTTTTGTTAACGTTATTAGAAGTTTCTGGCTTTTAAATGACTTCCTGAAAGATCCAGTGACTTAAAACAAGCTTTTTTGAGGGTTTTAAAAAAAAAAGTATTAATTAAATAATTTATTGATCATCTTCATCATCATCATTTTCAAGATAAATGTTCTTATGCCCGAATTTTGCATACAATTGAGATTTAAGGCTTGTCATCTTCTCCTGGATCTCGTCAACTTGAACTTCAATACTGGCAATTTCCTTTTCCTTGCCTTCTTTTGATTCTTGAAGTAATTTCTGTGTCTTTTCGACATTATTAAATATGAAGACTTCTCCAATCAGGAATTGGATCTGCTCATCATCAACAAGCTCAATTTCTTCAATAGCTTCATCGATGTTGGTTAATTCGGCTTTTTTGGACTTTAGTTCTTCTTTGAGATCTTCAATTTTAGCGACATGATTTGCAAATTGATTTATCCTCATTTGATCATCGAACGTAATTTTGATGTCAGCATCTGGATCCTAAAATTGTAAGTATTGATTCTGGATGTTAACAAAACAAAACATGCTAGAAATTTCATCAATTTAACTGCTTATCTACAGTTGGATGTAATTTACTATATAGTATATTATACAAACCGGTTGAAAAGCTGATTTCTTCTCTACTTTTGCCATCTTCAAACTAGTTTAATTAACTTTTATTGAGTTTTTCTTGCAAATTTCAAAATCACGTTCAACGAAAAACTTTTTCAAGTTCAAAATTTGAACTTTAAAAGTTCGTTCAGTGTGGAAAAGAGAAAAAGTTTTTCGTTGAATGTGATTTTATTAATTTCCGAGTAATTTTCTCAATTTTCATCGTTTGTCACGGCTTTTTAAATCAACTAAGTGAGTAATTAGCAAATTTCATGATTATAAAAAATTAATATCATTAAATAGTTGTGAAAATTGTCGAATTTAAGTCATTTTTTATGAAAAACATTTTCATACTTTATAAAAAATCTTTAAATCTTACAGAAATGGATCAACTTTTAATGAATGCAGCCCAGCAGCTTGAAAATCAGTTGGATAGTGAACTTCAAAAGCTGGATAATTTGACAGTTGATGACATTGACTCGATTCGCGAGAAGAGATTGAAGGAAATGAAGGCACGGCAAGACAAAATCATTATTTGGAAGAATAATGTAAGAAATAGTCATTGATCCATGTCAGCAAAGCTAAACGCCGGCTTTGAATTGACTTAATTTCATAAAGCTAGCTCTTGTGAAGTATATAATTTCGAGATTTTGTATGAAATTAAATACTTCACAAGAGCAAGTAGAAATCACTGTATAAATGAAATTCAGGTCGATTTCAAAGTCTGAATTGAGAAGAAAAATTGATGAGTCAAACTTTATTAATTGGTGTCTTGTTCACTGTTATACATTTTGTAGGGTCACGGAGAATACTCGGAATTAGCTGACGAGAAAGAATTCTTTGAAGTTTCGAAGAAATCCGAGAACATTGTTGTCCATTTTTACCGTGAATCGACTGAACGGTGTAAAATTGTCGATAAGCATCTCAAGATTTTGGCATCAAAGCATATTGAAACAAAGTTCTGTAAAGTAAATGCTGAAAAGTGTCCTTTCCTCACTCAACGTCTTAGAATTAAAGTCATTCCGAGCATAGCATTAATAAAAGACAGCAAAACAAAAGATTACATTATTGGATTTACGGACCTCGGAAATTGTGATGATTTCTCAACTGACATGATGGAATGGAGAATCGCACAAAGCGGAGCTATTGAATATAATGGAGATTTATTGACACCTCCAGATGAGAAGAAACGACAAACTTATTACAACAAGAACAAAACGATTCGAGGCAAGACCTACGATTCTGATTCCGATGATGGCTTGGATGATTAAAATGATCTACCTTTTTATATAACTCTCTTTTCTTTTTAGAGCACATTTCGTATTATTTTATATACTTTAACAAATGCTTCAAATTCTCATTAAAATTTTTTTTTTCGTCTAAATTAATAAAAGAAAACAATTAAAATTTTATTTTATAGAAAATTGCTTGAATTTAATGTTTTAATTGGATTTTCAGATTGTTCTTATGGGTTTATAGTTGTGCGCGAACTGGAAGTGAGATTTTATTTGATGAAATTCCAGTCTCCAAATAGAAAGTTCCAATTCATTCAAAATTACTTCCAGTATTCCAATGAAAAGTTTTTATTCTTCCAAAATTACTTCCAGTTCTCTAATGGAAAGTTCCAATTCATTCAAAAATTAACACAAGTATTCCAATAAAAAGATCCAATTTTTTCATAATTACTTCCAGTATTTCAATGAAAAAATTCTATTCTTCCAAAATTACTTCCTGTTCTCTAATGGAAAGTTCCAATACATTCAAAATTTCTTCAAGTATTCCAATGAAAATTTTCTATTCTAACAAAATTACTTCCAGTTCTCTAATGGAAAGTTCCAATTCATTCAAAATTTCTTCAAATATTCCAATGAAAATTTTCTATTCTTCCAAAATTACTTCCAGTTCTCTAATGGAAAGTTCCAATTCATTCAAAATTACTTCCAGTATTCCAATGAAAAGTTTCTATTCTTACAAAATTACTTCCAGTTCTCTAATGGAAAGTTCCAATTCTTTCATAATTACTTCCAGTATTCCAATGAAAAGTTTCTATTCTTCCAAAATTACTTTCAGTTCTCCAATGAAAAGTTCCAATACATTCAAAATTTTTTCCAGTATTCCAATGAAAATTTTCTACTGTTCCAAAATTACTTCCAGTTTTCTAATGGAAAGTTCCAATTCATTCAAAATTACTTCTAGTATTCCAATGAAAAAATTTTATTCTTCCAAAGTTACTTCCAGTTCTCTAATAGAAAGTTCCAATTCATTCAAAATTGCTTCCAGTATTCCAATAAAAAGATCCAACTCTTTCACAATTTCTTTCAGTATTCCAATGAAAAGTTTCTATTCTTCCAAAATTACTTCCTGTTCTCTAATGGAAAGTTCCAATTTATTCAAAATTACTTCCAGTATTCCAATGAAAAGTTTTTATTCTTCCATAAATACTTTCAGTTCTCTAATGAAAGGTTCCATTCATTCCAAATTACTACAAGTATTCCAATAAAAAGATCCAACTCTTTCACAATTTCTTCCAGTTTTCCAATGAAAAATTTATATTCTTCCAAAATAAATTCCTGTTCTCTAATGGAAAGTTCCAATTCATTCAAAATTACTTCCAATATTCCAATGAAAAGTTTCTATTATTCGAAAAATTACTTCTAGTTCTCCAATCGAAAGTTTCAATTCATTCAAAATTACTTCCAGTATTCCAATGAAAAGTTTCTATTCTTCCAAAATTACTTCCAGTTCTCTAATGGAAAGTTCCAATTCATTCAAAATTACTTCCAGTATTCCAATGAAAATTTTCTGTTCTTTCAAAATTACTTCCAGTTTTCTAATGAAAAGTTCCAATTCATTCAAAATTACTACCAGTATTCCAATAAAAATTTCCAAATCTTTCATAATTACTTCCAGTATTCCAATGAAAAGTTTCTATTCTTCCAAAATTACTTCCAGTTCTCTAATGGAAAGTTTCAATTCATTCAAAATTTCTTCCAGTATTCCAATCAAAATTTTCTATTCTTCCAAAATTACTTCCAGTTCTCTAATGGAAAGTTCCAATTCATTCAAAATCTCTTCGAGTATTCCAATGAAAATTTTCTGTTCTTTCAAAAATACTTCCAGTTCTCTAATGGAAAGTTCCAATTCATTCAAAATTACTCCCAGTATTCCAATAAAAATTTCCAAATCTTTCATAATTACTTCCAGTATTCCAATGAAAAGTTTCTATTCTTTCAAAATTACTTCCAGTTCTCCAATCGAAAGTTTTAATTCATTCAAAATTTCTTCCAGTATTCCAATCAAAATTTTCTATTCTTCCAAAATTACTTCCAGTTCTCTAATGGAAAGTTCCAATTCATTCAAAATTACTTCTAGTATTCCAATGAAAAAATTCTATTCTTCCAAAATTACTTCCAGTTCTCTAATGGAAAGTTCCAATTCATTCAAAATCTCTTCGAGTATTCCAATGAAAATTTTCTGTTCTTTCAAAATTACTTCCAGTTCTCTAATGGAAAGTTCCAATTCATTCAAAATTACTTCCAGTATTCCAATAAAAAGTTTCTTTTCTTTCAAAATTAATTCCAGTTTTCTAATGGAAAGTTCCAATTCATTCAAAATTATTTCCAGTATTCGAATGAAAAGTTTCTATTCTTTCAAAATTATTTCCAGTTCTCTAATGGAAAGTTCCAATTCATTCAAAATTACTTCCAGTATTCGAATGAAAAGTTTCTATTCTTTCAATATTACTTCCAGTTCTCTAATGGAAAGTTCAAATTCATTCAAAATTTCTTAAGTATTCCAATGAAAAGTTTCTATTCTTCCAAAATTACTTTCAGTTCTCTAATGGAAAGTTCCAATTCATTCAAAATTACTTCCAGTATTCCAATGAAAAGTTTCTATTATTCTAAAATTACTTCCAGTTCTCCAATCGAAAGTTTCAATTCATTCAAAATTACTTCCAGTATTCCAATGAAAAGTTTCTATTCTTCCAAAATTACTTCCAGTTCTCTAATGGAAAGTTCCAATTCATTCAAAATTACTTCTAGTATTCCAATGAAAAGTTTCTATTTTTGCAAAATTACTTCCAGTTTTCTAATGGAAAGATCCAATTCTTTCAAAATTACTTCCAGTATTCCAATGAAAAGTTTCTATTCTTTCAAAATTACTTCCCGTTCTCTAATGGAAAGTTCCATTCATTCAAAATTAATTCCAGTATTCCAATGAAAAGTTTCTATTGCAAAATTATTTCCAGTTCTCTAAAGGAAAGTTCCAATTCATTCAAAATTACTTCCAGTATTCCAATGAAAAGTTTCTATTCTTTCAAAATTACTTCCAGTTCTCCAATGGAAAGTTCCAATTCATTCAAAATTACTTCCAGCATTCCAATGAAAAGTTTCTATTCTTCCAAAATTACTTCCAGTTCTCTAATGGAAAGTTCCAATTCATTCAAAATTACTTCTAGTATTCCAATGAAAAGTTTCTCTTCTTCCAAAATTACTTCCAGTTCTCTAATGGAAAGTTCCAATTCATTCAAAATTTCTTCCAGTATTCCAATTTTCTATTCTTTCAAAATTACTTCCAGTTCTCCAATGGAAAGTTCCAATTCATTCAAAATTACTTCCAGCATTCCAATGAAAAGTTTCTATTCTTCCAAAATTACTTCCAGTTCTCTAATGGAAAGTTCCAATTCATTCAAAATTACTTCTAGTATTCCAATGAAAAGTTTCTATTATTTCAAAATTACTTCCAGTTCTCTAATGGAAAGTTCTAATTCATTCAAAATTTCTTCCAGTATTCCAATTTTCTATTCTTTCAAAATTACTTCCAGTTCTCCAATGGAAAGTTCCAATTCATTCAAAATTACTTCCAGCATTCCAATGAAAAGTTTCTATTCTTCCAAAATTACTTCCAGTTCTCTAATGGAAAGTTCCAATTCATTCAAAATTACTTCTAGTATTCCAATGAAAAGTTTCTTTTCTTCCAAAATTACTTCCAGTTCTCTAATGGAAAGTTCCAATTCATTCAAAATTTCTTCCAGTATTCCAATGAAAAGTTTCTATTCTTTCAAAATAACTTCCAGTTCTCTAATGGAAAGTTCTAATTCATTCAAAATTTCTTCCAGTATTCCAATGAAAAGTTTCTCTTCTTGCAAAATTACTTCCAGTTCTCTAATGGAAAGTTCCAATTCATTCAAAATCTCTTCTAGTATTCCAATGAAAATTTTCTGTTCTTTCAAAATTACTTCCAGTTCTCTAATGGAAAGTTCCATTCATTCAAAATTACTTCCAGTATTCCAATAAAAAGATCCAATTCTTTCAAAATTACTTCCAGTATTCCAATGAAAAGTTTCTATTCTTTCAAAATTACTTCCCGTTCTTTAATGGAAAGTTCCCATTCATTCAAAATTACTTCCAGTATTCCAATGAAAAGTTTCTCTTCTTCCAAAATTACTTCCAGTTCTCTAATGGAAAGTTCCAATTCATTCAAAATTACTTCTAGTATTCCAATGAAAAGTTTCTATTATTTCAAAATTACTTCCAGTTCTCTAATGGAAAGTTCTAATTCATTCAAAATTTCTTCCAGTATTCCAATTTTCTATTCTTTCAAAATTACTTCCAGTTCTCCAATGGAAGGTTCCAATTCATTCAAAATTACTTCCAGCATTCCAATGAAAAGTTTCTATTCTTCCAAAATTACTTCCAGTTCTCTAAGGGAAAGTTCCAATTCATTCAAAATTACTTCTAGTATTCCAATGAAAAGTTTCTTTTCTTCCAAAATTACTTCCAGTTCTCTAATGGAAAGTTCCAATTCATTCAAAATTTCTTCCAGTATTCCAATGAAAAGTTTCTATTCTTTCAAAATTACTTCCAGTTCTCTAATGGAAAGTTCTAATTCATTCAAAATTTCTTCCAGTATTCCAATGAAAAGTTTCTCTTCTTGCAAAATTACTTCCAGTTCTCTAATGGAAAGTTCCAATTCATTCAAAATCTCTTCTAGTATTCCAATGAAAATTTTCTGTTCTTTCAAAATTACTTCCAGTTCTCTAATGGAAAGTTCCATTCATTCAAAATTACTTCCAGTATTCCAATAAAAAGATCCAATTCTTTCAAAATTACTTCCAGTATTCCAATGAAAAGTTTCTATTCTTTCAAAATTACTTCCCGTTCTTTAATGGAAAGTTCCCATTCATTCAAAATTACTTCCAGTATTCCAATGAAAAGTTTCTCTTCTTCCAAAATTACTTCCAGTTCTCTAATGGAAAGTTCCATTCATTCAAAATTACTTCCAGTATTCCAATAAAAAGATCCAATTCTTTCAAAATTACTTCCAGTATTCCAATGAAAAGTTTCTATTCTTTCAAAATTACTTCCCGTTCTCTAATGGAAAGTTCCATTCATTCAAAATTAATTCCAGTATTCCAATGAAAAGTTTCTATTGCAAAATTATTTCCAGTTCTCTAAAGGAAAGTTCCAATTCATTCAAAATTACTTCCAGTATTCCAATAAAAAGTTCCAATTCTTTCATAATTACTTCCAGTATTCCAATGTAATATTCCAAGTTTTCCAATAGTTTATTTGAATTTAATTCAAAATTGAAACAATTTATTATAAAATCGATAAACTTTCAATGTCATAAATATCTAAATTAAGAAAATATTCAGTAGAAAAAGCCTCAGTAGGCATACAAAAGAATCAATATATTAGCAATTGATGTGAACTGAATGAACAGCAACAATTTAAAGTTCAAAATCCATCATTCATTATTCCACATACATTAGGCTACCTCCAATTTTTGAACTATACCAAATTCTCTCTCTCAAAACAACACACTCAATAATCTCTCAGTTTGTCATTAAATCTAACCGAGTTAACAACTGTTTTTCTATAGTTCGTGTTTAAAACAACAAAAAAAGTTTCTTAAAAATATAAAAGAATTAAAAAAAGAAAAGAAGAAATCAAAAAGTGTAATGAATTAATCGTGTTAGTGCTATGAACAATGTTATTATGGCCAATAAAAAAGATATGCTAGGGCCAATATTATTTCAAAATAAAAGAAAATGTGAAATATCGATTAGAAAATTCTATGAATCATTATTGCTAATAATTTGTGTTGTAACAATACTAAATAAAGGATTTCCATTCAATTCTGTTGACGCCCTTGAACATCATCTTGGTGAGTTAATCGTAAAAGATATTTATATTTGCATAACCAGCTGAATTTTTTGTTGATGATACGGGAGTAAAATATCAAATAATATTCATATTTTGTTCAACTTCTTTCTTTTATTTTCTTGTGCATTGCTATGCTCTCAATTTTTTTTTTGTGTTGTATATTATTTTTGTTGTTTTACTCCTCTCATCGTACATACATGTGATATGTACGAACGAACTATTGAGCAAAAGAAACACACAGAAATGTAGCTGGAAAAAAATACAATTTATTAATTTCTAAAAATGAGACGCATCACAGCTGAATATGAATATTTTTCGGGTTTTAATTTTATATTACGGGATCTAAATTGAGACTTGATATGAATCATGACACTTTAGCCTTAATTGTTTTCTTCTTTTCACTTTTTGGATTCATTCAATGCGTCGAGTAATTAAATATGATCAGTAAGATGTTCCAAAAACCCATAAAGCAGTCTCATATGTATGCAAACGTCATGTATGCAAATCAGTGCTAGTGACTAAGTTATAGACTGAGAAAAAACGGTCGATTTCTCATGAACTCTGGTCAACTTCTCTCCATTCATTTACTTCCTCTTATTATTCCCGCTCTTCGTTGTCGTCGGTCGGCGAATGACTCACCTTTATTCCAAGAACTTTCCGCTCTGTTGAATGCTTATAGACAGAAAAGTGCACTTCTTATTCATGTTGGAATAATAAAAATAATGTGATCAGTAGCTGAATTGTCATGTTTGATCTTTAGTGGTGTACCCACTTAACCAATATCGCCGTCAATGAAAAAATCGACTTAAATGTACAATTTTTTGGATGATCCAATAGACGTCGATTTTTCATCCATTACACGTCGTTTTTCTTGAGCCGCTATATACTTCACAAGTGCAATCAGAAATCACTTATATAAGGCACAGCCAAATTTTCATACAAAGTGTGATTAATTAATTAAATTAATTGCATGCGAATCATTCATTTAAATGGAGACTTCGACTCTTTTTTTCAAAGACAAAATCTTTAATTAATTTTTTTTGGATTTTGTCTACAAATTCTAGTATAATTAACAAAAAATATTTTCATACAAAAAAATTCAAAATTTTTCCGTTAATCGGTTTTTATATTGTAACGGTCAAAAAAAATTTGATTTTGGTTCAAAAAAATAATCGACGTGAAATCGACGCGAAATCGACTAAAAATCGTCCCTTTTCATATTAGCATAATGTCCAATGTACGATACATGGAATGTACATATGGAACATACATGGAAGATTTTGATGTAATACATAAAATCTTCCATTCGTCGACTTATGGTTACGTGGGTAGCCAGCAGAGGAGTGGGAGGATTCGTTTTTGTTAAGAATGGATATCCCCACCTGACTGCACCACTGCTGATCTAAAATTCATTGTTAATTTATTATTTTAATTAGCATATAAAGAATTAAAATTTCAATTTGTCTGCCGAGTGCATTAGCTGCTTATTTTTATTATTTACATATCAATTATAAAATTGATAATATTTTATGGATTTGGATGTAGAAATGAGGTGTTACTGCTTCCCGCACACTTAATATATTGTTTGTATTACAGCTCAAAAAATAAACCTCGTTATTAAATCCATTATTCTATTTATGAATTTATTTAATACCTGAATTTATGTGCATTTTCAATGACGACTATTGGGAGCTGTTCAGTTGTTACGTGACTTAATAATGAACGCTTTTCAAAGTTAATATTTCAATTTTAAATCTACCATGAATCCAAGATTCTGAACGTAATTTATGAACGAGCCCCAGCAGTGTACGTGAGTTTATTTTGTCTCAGTGACTGGATGATCAAATCACTAATCATGGTATTTTATTTTTGGCTTCTGTGTGGATTATTATGGCTTATGAATTTTGATAGCTTTGGCAATTTTGATCGTGCAGCTTAGATTTTTTATTCGCATGTTCACAAGTATTTATGAGAATAATACTATGCTCGGTATATGGAAGGATAGGCCTTCTTTTGATTAGCCGGTACTAAGCTTCATGGATCTTTATTTTTGTAATGTTTACAACCTTCAAGATGTCTCTTTAAACTTAAATCTAGAGATCTCTACCTAGTTGTAGACAAAGGAACACTTCGCCGTAAATCATCCAAAAAAGGCAATTCAGGAAAGGTGTGGAATAAAAGTAGAAATTGCAATTAATAATTCTCATGGGATCTCACTTTTCCTTTATATTTACAACTTTAATCAAATAGTAAACATCCAGAACTAATCCAGACAGTTAAATAACATGCAAACATCAGGTAAACCCCTTCAAAACCTGAAATACGAAAAGAATTTCGCCATTTATTTTACGTTTATCCAATTATCAACATAACCTTGAATACACTTATCAAGTCGATATTTTAGCAAGTCACACAAAACATTTACACCTGTCTTGGTTGTCTTGATTCTCATATATATCTAATTGCGATAACTATGGAAACTTGAGTACGAAAAATCAAATCATCACTTTCAACTCAAGCCACATATTGTGCTAATTTTATTAGATTTTAAGCATATCGGAAATTGCATCTAACCGATGAAAAGTTTTGCCAATGTAAGATGAGGAAAGAGACTGACATACATTCTCTATTTTCTTTCTTTAGCTGCATGTAATTTATATGTCGAATCGGAATTGAATCTAAAGAAAGTTATAAATTTATAAATTTTATATAAATGTGAAGAAAAACTCATCAATTAGCTGTCACATCCATTTCTGTATTTTCATATTGTTCTGCTTAAGTTTAAAGTGTGAAATGAGAGTTTTCGCAGCCTGTAACCCACGCTGATGGCGTTAAAATGTGTATCTTTATAGACTCTAAAGAGTTAAATTATTCAAAAATTAGAAGAAAAAAAAACATGAAAAATCTTTCAAGTTGGTCGTGAAAATCGGATTCGGCCGGCAAATTTTTATTGCCAAACATAAATTTTGCTTTCCTCACACGTTTGTAGCTTTATTTGGGAGATTTATTGCCTAATTAAGTTGTCATTTTGTCTTATTACCCTGTGCTTTCGTTATAAGCTACTATTCGTTACTAAGCTACTAGCTTAGTAAAGTTTTTTTGAACTTGAAATTTTTTTGTAATATTTACTAAGCTACTATCGAAAATAAAGTTTAATTAATCTTTTTCAACTTTCTAAGTATCAGTTCCAATGCCTTATGACATTGTCAATGAAATAAAATCGAGAAGATAGCAAAATTTCTTTAATTGAGTTAAAAAATTCAAACTTTCATTAAAGTTCAATTTCTTTCCTAAGCTACTAGTGAGCCCAAAAAATCACTTTTATTCTACTAAGCAACTAGCTTATAACAAAAAAGCAGGGTAATAGTTTTATTGTTTATTTTGTTTGTAATTATTGTTCAACTGATCTTCAGAGGCGGGTTTTTTGGTCAGCCTATACCAGCTCCTAACCTAGATTCACTTTAGGGCTAGATAAAGGTATAGGTGCTGCTGCTAACCGAAAACTTGCCACAGCGAATAAGATAAACTCTAAATACAACAAGGGTCGTTCATAAATCACTTCTACGAATAATGAAATATTTTTAAACCCGAAAATTGAACTTTATTAGTTCAAAAGTTCATTTCAGTTCAATTCAATTAATTTCAAACCAGTGTTGCAAATGTAGATGTCTACATTAGATGAAGAATGTAGATTCTTTAATAGTTTTTGTCTAGCTAAGAACCTTTCTTCATAAAGATCGATTCTACATGAAGATAGAAAATCTAATCTACACAAAGATTATTTCTACATAAAGATTCTGTTTACATAAAGATTCGACGTAGATGTCTACAATTCTACATTTTTCCAGGTCTACATCAGAGAAAAATGTAGAATTGTAGACATCTACATCGAATCTTTATGTAGACAGATTCTTTATGTAGAAATAATCTTTGTGTAGATTGGATTTTCTATCTTCATATAGAATCGATCTCTGATGTAGACCTGGAAAAATGTAGAATTGTAGACATCTACATCGAATCTTTATGTAGACAGATTCTTTATGTAGAAATAATCTTTGTGTAGATTAGATTTTCTATCTTCATATAGAATCGATCTTTATGAAGAAATTTCTGTCTCAGAATTTATCTGATCCTGTTTCAAACTTTAGAAAACCTTTAGATTTTTTATTTCATTTTCCAAAATATTTTCAAACAAAAACTCCTCATTAAAATAATAATAATAATCACATAAAATATTCAAAAGCGCCTAGAACATGCATCTTTAATGTTCAATCGACAATACTGACCATAGCGAAGTCAAAAAGTGTTTTCTCAAAAATTTTAAATTAGACAACTTAAGCACGGCTATAGTATGTCGAGTTTTGATTCGTTTTTACACAAAAAAAAATATATAAACTGCTTAAAAATTCTTTTTACGAATATACTAAAAATAAAACCTCACCTACTATAAATGCCTCACTTTTTGAGTATAGCGAATTCGAGATTTTCACTTCGTAAATTGCAGTAAATTAAGGGGGTAATGGAATTAAAGATGCAATTCAGGTCAGCTAAATGTAATTGCACGCGTATTTGCTTTGCCGAATTAATTTCTAAACCATCAATATCTCCACGTGATACTTAGCTGTTGCTTCATTAGCTATTTTGACTCATTGAAACATAATTCGCGATGCAATTTATGCAACATTGCCCTTTTATAGACATTATGTCAATGTGAGCTGTATGGACTTTTGATGAGTGACTAGTTGCTGAACTGTTGGCTTGAAGGCGAGCTATAAAGCAATGCTCATGTTGAAAAGTGTTGGCAATTTAACGAAGCTTGTTAAACATGTGATTATTAAGGTGACAAGGTCGGGAACTTTAAACTGCTTTAAACCTTTAAAATTAAGTTTGAATTTAAAAAAAACCGTTGATAATTTGAATCATTAAAAGACAGTTAAAATTTGAATCTCAAATAATCGTTAAAAAGTTTACGATCTAATAAATTTCCGAAGAATAGAATAA